GGGTGCAGGTAGCCAGGGAGTGACGGCGCCACACGCCAATAGAGAACCAAGGTGGGAGTCCTCGCCACACCACTGACCAATAAGAAAGGGACGGCTGTGGCTGCAGTTCCCCCAGGCAGTAGCTGCAAGCTCTAGTGGCTGCGGGTCGGAGACCCTAGGGCTAAAGGGACTTTGAAAGGAGTTTGCTCGCCTTCACTGTGCCACCCGCCGACCCTTAGCCCACACCTCGGTCCTCACCTGCTGAAAGCGAGGCTTGCCCAGCTGGAAAGGAGGTGCATCACTCGAGGTGTTCGCGGCACTAGCCGCTGCCGCCGATGCTGTAGTCGCTGTATCCGCCATGGCCAATGACGCCCGCAATCTCCGGCCCTTTTAAAATGTCCCTCCTCGGCCCCCGCCACAGCTGCCGCTCCCGATTGGCCATAAGCAACCGCAGCGAGCAGGAAGCGCAAGGGGTTGTGGGGAGTGTAGTTTTTCATGTCACGGAGCTTGACGATCCCGAACTGCGGAGAGATGGATCTGCACCGGCGAGGTCTCGGTTTCCGCCCCCAGTTTTGCTGGATCTGGCAGTCCGGAAAGGGTGTGCACTTGCAACTCTAAGATCTCGACAGAGGGCCACGGAGCAGACCCCTCGCTGCTCACCTGCCCCTAGAAGTTGGAGTTGTTGCCATAGACGTCATTCTCGAAGCTGTAGCCCAGAAGGGCCCCCCGATCCAAGCGGGCCTGATAGGGGGCCAGACGAACAAGGCAGAGTAAGGTTAATCTCGGAAGGCTTTCTGCAAGGAGTTACTTGCACTGCGATGGTTTCGTGCAGGTTCATCTGCCGTCACCCGGCCCCCTATACTCTCCAATCACCCAGACTCTCAGTTTCTGGAGCATCCAATGCCGGCCCTTGAACATTCTGTACCCTTTGCCTAGAAGACTATTAACTTTTTATCTTACCCTAACGCTTGCTTTCTTTCTGGCTTCGGCCTAAACATTGTATTTCACTAGATCCACCGCCCTACGTCCACAAAATTCGTTACATATTCTGGTTGTTGTTGTTTTGTGCCGTGGAGTGGGCCCCGACTCATAGTGACCCTTCCTTGGGTTTCCGAGGCAGTCACACTACCTAAGTAGATTGCCCAACCTTCCTTCCGAGGAGTGGCTGGTGGGTTTGAACCTCCAGCCTTGTCAGCCTGATCACCGGTGGCGTAGTGCCCAAGGCATTTGACTGCTAACCAGAAGGCTGGTGGTTCAAACCCACTAGACAATCCTGGAAAGGATGGCTGGGCAGCCGGGGAAACCAAAGGAGAGGTCACTATGAGTGGAATCCACTCCACCACAGTGAGTTTGGCTTTGGTTTCTGCATTAATATTAAGGAGCTCTGGTGGTGTAGTGGATAAGGCACTTGACTGCTAACAAAGTGGTTCAAACCCACCAACTGCTCCACAGAAGACTAGGTGATCTACTTCGGTAAATAATTACAGCCTTGGAAACCCAATGGGGGTCGCTATGAGTTGGAAACTACTCGATGGCAGTTGAGTTTGTTTTTTGGTTTACATTTATATTTATGGTTTTGTATGTATCTTTCCTACTGTTAAGAACTGGTAGTGTAGTGCCTAAGGCACTTGACTGCTAACCAGAAGGCTGGTGGTTCAAACCCACCAGCCACTCCTTGGAAGGAAGGTTGGGCAATCTACTTCCATAGTGATACTGCCTCGGAAACCCATGGAGGGGTGGCTATGAGTCGGGTCCAACTCGTCGGCACATAACAACACTGTTAAGAGCAGGGGCTGTGATTTTGATTCACTGTTAAGTCCTCAGGGCCAGGTTTAGGGGCATTCACAGTAGGGACTGAAGTATTTGTGAGTTAAACCGTGGAGTCTTAGGAACTCTGGCAGCCTCCAACTGCTTTGGCCAACCAAGACGGATCTCCCTCTCCAGCCTAATTCCTGAGCAGGAAGAGAAGTGGGGGTGGAGGGCTCAGTAGCACTCATCAAGCACTTTATACAAGGATTTAGATGAGTTCTGCATATTGTAGAGTAAGGTGCTGCCAGTACCAATAGTGAAAACACACTTGAGCAGAACAGAGTTGAAGATCTTCACCTGAACTATCCGGTCAATGAGCCAGACAGGATAGGACAGCTTTCTACTTCAATGAGGACAGAGAAATACTTGGTCTTACCCCTAGCGAATCTCACTTTGGGTTACCTTAATCTCATGGTAAGGTGCAGGGTGGTTCATGCCTCCTCATGTTTTTGGGCACCACATGATCTGTAGTAGTGTGAGTTCCTCATCCACTAATGGCTGAACCACAGAAACATACTTTTCTTAAAGCTGGATTGAAATTCCAGCTAGCCATAAAAACAATTACTATATTGGATTTTTCTCTTCCCCTACTAGACTAAGTCATTTGAGAATAGGAATCACATCTTATGTCTTCTATATTCTCCCACAGTACCCAACAAATGTACCCATAAATAGATGGCCAATATATCTGTGTATCTTGAGAGTGAGAAAAACCTGAATATAGTCTCCTGGACAACACTGTGTGCTGCCCCTGATGTTAGGGCAGGGGTGGTGTCAGTCAAGAACTTCCCCATCTTGATTTAAGGCTGCCTTCCTCCATAGGAGCTCTGGTGGAGCAGTGAGTGGTTAAAGCATCAGGCTGCTAACCAAAAGGGCAGTGGTTTGAACCCACCAGACACTTTGCAGAAAAAAGGCGAGGCAGTCTTCCTGTGAAGATTTGCAGCCTTGGAAGAGTATGGAGTTCTACTCTGATCTACAGGGTCGCTATGAGCCAGAATTGACTTAGGTTGGGTTGGGTTGGGTTTTTGGTGGTTCATTACCCCACCCCCACCCCCACTAGAAGCCTCTCTCACTTGCTTATTCCAAAACAGGAACACAACAGAGCCACCTGCAGTATGTGAACTTTTTATTCTTCATAAAGTGCTCAAAACATGAAGAACAAGCTCTTTAGAAACAGGAGTTACAACCAGGAAGACAAACAGCAAAGCAGATCTATGCCTGCTCCTCTCCTCTCCTCTCCTCACCCCCCCCCCCCCCCCCACCCCACTTTTAGCTCTCTTCCAACTTGAAGCCAGGAACAGATACACTAAACAAGAACCTTGAGCTTCAAGTCAAAATCTTTTAGGAAGACATCCCTGCCCTGGGCATGCTGCAGGCCCATGGTCCAAAATATCTGGAAAATCAGAGGGCTGGGGCTGAGTAGAGTACCTCAGCCTTCTTAATCTTACAGTAGGAATATGGAAGTATGCCTGGTAAGGGGATGCCTAGCAGGAGAGTGACCCCTCCAGTAGAGACACTTTTCCAATCCCCAATGGCTCCCCAAAACACATGACTGAAGTCCTGGGCACCTGTATTTTTCTCAGCTTTGATGAGTGGTCCTTACGGGGCTTTCTCCCTTGTATACAGCTCCTCTGTTCCATTCTGAAGGAAGAGAGACATCACCCACCCAGAGCACACCTCCTCCCAAGGCTGTAAAAGTGACCCATGGGTCCTCTCCAAAGAGGGGATCCCAGAGGAGCTCTCATTTCCTCACTGGGTCAAAGCATCCTCCTTCAGCACCTCCTTGGCCCACCACACTTAATAAAATAGGGTGCCCCAAGCCTGCAGATGCCCTGGGGAAGCCTGGCATGCTTTCTGCAAGCAAACAGGGGACTAGGCCAAAGGACTGACACTTAATTTCAAAGGGCACTGCAGGTAAGGCAGGCAAGGCCAAGGGGCAGGAGAGACAGCTGGGGCAGCAGCAGCTCAGTGGATGGATGGGAGGGCAACAAAAGGTCTTCCTAGGTATAGGTCTGTCTCCCAAAGGCAGAGTGGGACCTCCCACTTCCAGAATGTAGCTTTTATCCCAGGACTCTCTTAATTGGGCTGAAGAAGCAGGGGAAGAAGGCAGGGAGGTTGAGAGAGCTGCAACAGCTTAGCCAGACTCTTAAATGGAATTAACTCAAAGGGGAGGGGAAGAGAGTACACAGTGTTGCCTCTATCCTCCACTCCCATTCCTGAGCCCTGACAGATTCATGCCCACAGTGTGCTCAACAGGGAGGGGAGGGAATGCCAAATAGGAGGGGCTCCTGACCCCTCTCACAAAAGGCACATTTTAACTGATTCCAAAATTTCAAACCCTGCAGTAGCACAGAGTTTGGGCATCTGGATGGGCAACAACAACAACAGAGACTGAGGCTTGAACGCAAAAATATAAGCAGCCCAAAGCTCTGAGCCACGGAGGGGCCCACACCCTGGAGTGAGTGAGAACTCAAACAGTCAGAAGGGGCTCTCACCCCACTTGCCCCTAAACTCACACATGCCCACATGACACTCAATGGAAGGTCTGAAGAGGCAGGGAGGAGCCTGCAGAGCGCACATCATCCGCACTACTCTTGCTCCTCAAACAACTAGTAACAGAAACAGACTCAGGACAGGGGAGAGACTAGACTTGACCTCGCAGGTTACTTGCCTGCACTAGAATGTATGCGAGGCTGAAGAGTAGGTGGCCTGGTTGCCCAGACATCACAAACAAATGGGCAGCTTGGTCCCTGCCCCAGCCCTGTAACACTGGGAGCCCATCCTGGGGCTGAAGGGAGATGAAGGTGAGGGTTTGGTGGTGGGAAGAAGTGGCTGAGCATCCTTGGGGGACATCAAGTGTGTGTCAACAACCAGTCTCACCCCAGATACCATGTCACACTGCTCCAGCTTGAAGATTAAATTCCTTGTTTCAACTCCCTGAAGCTCTCAAAGCTAAGGGGTATGAAAATAGGCAGGTGGGAAGGACCCAGGGCTCCTGGAGATATACAAGTTGTACATGGAACCTGGTGCCCTCTAACCAGAGCCCAAAGGGCATCCTTCCAGCAGCTCTGGTCAAGGCAGGAGGGAGAGGGAAGCAAGGGGTGATGAGGACACTGCACCCTGCCCCAGAGTAGAGTGCGCTCAGCAGAAGGGAGGAGGGCTGAGCCCTGTTTGGGGTCCATGCCAGCCCTCCCAGGGGTAGGGAGGAAGGGTTACTTGGGGGGAACAGTGGGAATCTGCAGCAGTGTGGGTGAAGTCTCCATGATGCGCACCAGCAGCCGGTCAATGTAGCTCTCCAGCTCCTGCACATGCTCATCCCGCAGACTCAGCTCCCGCTCCCGCTGCAGGAGCAGGCCAATCAGCTCATCGTGCGTCAGGTGGTAGTACTTGGCCGACTGGTCCAGCACACCTGAGTCCTGAAGCCAGACGGAGAGTGAGAAGGGCAGTCCCAGGGCAGCCCTGAGCCTGCTAGCCACCACCCCAGTTCCATCACCACTGGTTCCCAGAGCTGCCTCTGTCTCCAATGCCAGAGATGGCTGATTGGCTTCAAGACTTCTGGAGTGTCCTAAAGCCTCCTCCTTGCTCCAACCTCCCCTGCACCCTCCCCAGGGCTCTCCCCACAGCACCACAGGTTTTGGTCTGATGCCCCTCAGAATCCTGCAGAGCCTTACCTTCAGCTTCTTGGCTTCCACAGCCTGGCCAACCTGGGGGGCGGGAGCCACAGGCTGAACACTGCCAGATGTGACTGTTTTGAGCTTCTCCAGACCGCTGCTCAGGGCTGTGCTCAGACTGGAGCGAGGAGGCTTCCTGTCAGGGCTACCCTCCACAGAGGCAGCACTGAGGGGCTTCACAGGGTGGGGACTGTGAAGGCAGACGAGAGATGATTCATGGGGCGGGATGAGAAACACAAGAAAAAGTAGGGCCACCTTCTCTGCAGAGCTTCCAAATCTGCTAGCAAAAGCCAGTCTACTTGGCGGTGGCTACTCCTATAATTAAGATTTCCAGGGCAGCTGTACACAGCACTCTTCAGCAATACTTCTCCCTTCCTTCACAATCCTCCTCAACCCTCACCACCTGCCCAGTTCACTCTCTCCGATGACCCTGCCCCTTCACAGAGAAAGCAGAGGCCATCCTACAGACGTCTTCTGCACCTACACCCAGTCTTTGACAGAGATACCTCCTCCCTCTATCTCCCCTCCCTCCTCTTCTATACTGTAAATGTTCTCTAGGGTGACCAACCATCCTTAGAATTGTGGCGTTTCCCAGGCCATAGGACTTTCAACAGTAAAACCCTGAATCACCTGGGCAAACCAGGAAGGTGGGCCACCTATCTCACTCCCTACCAGTTGCTTCCCATCAGTATTTAAACAAGCCTGAGAAACCCTTCCATGACCGTGTATACTCATTCTAGTTACCACCCTCAGTTGTTACTTTCTCTCCTTTCTCACACAAGCTTTCACACAGTATGTGGACTCCATTCTGTCTCTCATTTCTTACCTTTCATTGACTGCTCAGCCCATTAAACAAAGACATCATCCCCTACCAGCCACCAAAAGTGTTCCTGCTGAGGTCACCAAAACCTGCTGGTGTTCACCTCACTGACTCCTCTGTGGAGCTGACACTCAACAACTATTCATTCCTTCTTTCAAGCTGTTCTCTTTTCCACCTTTGTTTACATGACATCACTCTGGTTTTCTGACCTGACAGCCCTTTCTCAGTCTCAGTTGCTAGTCTGCCCTTGTGGTCTCTCCTCTCCACCTCCTTGGTTCCTACCACTTCCTGATCTCCACCTCCTCCGCAGATCTTACCCCTGAGCTCTAGACCCACATAGATAATTGTGAGCTCTCCCTTTCCACCTGCGGGCCACCTCAGGGGTGTCACATTCTCCTCCCTGCCTGCCCTTCCTCCTGTGTCCCCATGGCTGTGGGTGGTACCATTAGCTGACATGGCTCCAATCAGAAACCTAAAGCTTCTCTGACTCCTTTCCTTTAGCCTCAATGCTAACAGTCAAACCCTGCTACTTTTCTACCTTCTCTCAAATTGTCCTCTCCTCTCCAAGCCAGTGCTAGCTAAACCTTCCTTCCAGCCTCAGTGGCAAAGCCTCTCCTCCATGCTAGTCTTGCCTACCTCCAACCAGTTCCCCATTCTGAAGCTGGATAATAATCTTGGGCCTCTCTAAGGATCAAAAGTCCTTTAACAACTCTCATTTGGGTGGGATCAAGGTAAGAAAACACAAACCTTACACAATCTAGCCACCTCCTCCAGGAATCCTCCTGGATTGTCCTAGATCAACTACAGTGACCCTCTTCTGGGATCCTCCAGAACCCTGTACCTGTGACAATTACCCAAGCATTGTGCCCTCAAATCAACTGACCTGTTTCTAGGGTGTCTCTTGCAAATGTACACCTACTTCACAGAGGAAATTCACCATTCAGGGACAGCAAGCAAATCGGCTTACTCTAAGGCCCTGAGCTCCACTGAAGGAAAGCTTACCCAGGATCCAGAGAAGCCAGCTCTGTAACTCAAGACAGAACTGTGGGTTCCTCACAAATCAGGAGGCGTGGCCCAGTTTGGGACCGACAGCAGGGAAAAGAATGTAATTCTGTCCCTTCCTCCCACCTAGGAGTTTGTATTAAGGATAGGAGTATGAAAACAGCTCTATTGCTACCTATGGGTTGTGCAGGGGTGAGGGACGGCCAGTGTGGCATAAACGCACCCTGAATAAGGAGCCAGGAATCTTAGACTCTGGGTCTAATCGCCCTCGTACAATGAGGGATGCTGCAGCTCTTGTTGACCCCATTTTCTCATCTGAGAAATAGGGATCGCTCTATTAGCATAGTGGCTAAGGCACGTGACTGCTAACCAGAAGGCTGGCAGTTCAAACCCACCAGCCACTCCTCGGAAGGAAGGTTGGGCAATCCTACTTCCGTAGTGATACTGCCTCGGAAACTCAAGGAGGGGTCGCTACAAGTCAGGGCTGACTCGACGGCACATAACAACAACAACAACTATTTGGGACTGGTGTAAAAATCACACCAAGTACAGACATGAAGTCAGCTCTGAAGAGAATAAAATTTAAAGAATGGCAAGTATAATTAGAAGTGGTGCTGGGGTACAGAAGACTCAGCTGCACACACCACAAGGAAGCCATACTCACCAGGTCCCTCCTCCTACCCCTCACCTCAGGAACAGTACCACCACCAGCTACTGGAACACAAGCTTGAGGGTACCCCAGGTACTCCCCTCCTGCCCTCTTCTCATATATCAGCACTGGCTGCCTTGGGGGTTCCCTTCCAAGTTCACTTCTGTCTCCTCCCTGGACTGGGAATGCCTTGGGAATGTAACAGGGACTATGTGTTTCACCTCTGTTCAGTGTAGATGCTCAGTACATCTGGATGACTCAGTGTATGAGCCAGCAAGTGCTGGGGGGGCGGGCAGGGGACCTCACAGAGTCTGCCCTGCTCTCCAAACCCACGCTGTGCTCTGGTCATCAGGGCTAGCAGCCAGCTTGGCTCCCCACCCTTCTCCACTCCAGAGCATTATCATCCCTCTGGGCTTTGCTGCCCCTACCAAGTCACATCCCATTACCTCCCAGACCTGTGTCTGCAGACCTTAGCTCTGGTCACCCCTCACCAGCCACTTGAAGAAGTCACAGACTCATACTTCTTCCAAATCAGACCAATGCCACAGTGTCCACAGTCACTCACACAGGCATCCACTATCCACTCAACACAGTTCTAAAAGCATCAGGACCAACTCCCTGAAAGGGACAAAACACAACCTAATAAAGCACCTGATGCAGTCAGATAGCCTTTTTTTTATCTGAGGGTCACCTATATAGAATGTATTTCAGGCTTTGTTTTCTTTTCCCTCTCTAAAGGTGTTTTCAACTTTCCTTTCTGGCCTAACCACTGGTACTTCCTCTGGCTCTCTGCCTTCCCTAGTCTGCTCCCTGAGCCCGTCTGTACAAGAATTTGCAAAGAGCCAGGCAGGGCCTATGCTCCAGGGCTCCATGTTTAGCCTGTTCTCCTGCTCTGCCAGGGCCTGTCTGAGAAGTGAATCAGGCTCTGGAACATGGCCTCTAGCTGATAAGCTTCATGCAGGTGGCCTCACTCTAGGCAGCCCACAGCCAGCCAGTCCTTGGACAGTGAGTGCCTGAACACCAGAGGGGCCACAGCAGCTCTTCCCCAGCTGCATTCTCTATCCCCTGCAACTCCTCTGGTCATTCTCCAAACCCCACACTTCTGGGGCACTGTGGCCCTTCTTAGAGGCATCCTCCTTGCTTAGGATCCCAAGGAGGAAGACGTTTGAGCTGGAACCACAGAAAGCTCCTGCTGTCAAAGCCTCCATCGTCCTGCCTCCAAGGTGGAGACCCTTGCCTGCCTTCAGAAAGGAGGAAGCTGGAATGTCAACACCCTAACCTCTTTCAAGGTTTCACCCCTGCTCCAGCCCCTTCTTCCTGGGAAAAGTTCTTGGGGATGGGGAGCTCACCTGGGACTGGGCTGTGGCTTCTCAACTGGTCGTGTCTCCAAGGGCAGAAGCACAAGCAGGGAGGCTGGGGTGGCTGCAGCGTGGTCCTCCCCAAGTGGGGTGGGAGAGCCCTCAGTGGGGGAGGGCTCAAAGGGTCCTGGGGGTGAGGCTGGCTCCCCCAAGGGTGGGGAGGAAGAGCCCAGGGGCGAGGCTCCAGGCAAGGAAGAGTACTGAGGGCTGACCTCCCTGTGGAGGTGGCTGGCCCAGGGTGGGAGAGGGGGTGGTAGAAATGTAGGCTCTGGAGGGGTGGGTAGCTCTTCCGGACCAGAGTGGATGGAAGATTCCATGGACCCTGGAGGGGATGTGGAAGGAAAGCTGGGGGGATCTCGGCTCCCTTGAGACAAGAAGGGGTTCAAGTTATCCTCCTCAGAGGCCCCCAAGTCAGTCTGTTGGGAGCTGACTGACAGGGGCCTAAGCCTCTCTCCTGCTAGTTCCTGGCTCTGGGGCTCAGGAGCCACATGGATGTCTTCTCTCTCTGGAGCCCCCCAGATCAGCTGACTCTGAAGAGCCAAGCTCTCTGAGTAGTAAGATGTGGGGGCAGGATCCTGAGGACAGCTAGTGGCCAGAGACAGGCAGGACTCTGGCACAGCAGGGCTGGCATCCTCCACGATGGCATCTTCCCGGGCTTGTTCACTGAGCAGGGTCTCAGAAGAATGGCCATCACACTCCGACTTTGGCTTTTCTCCCTCCTTCTTGGCCTCCTGGGGACCAAGAACTAGTGTGCTTGAGAAGGCATCTTCTCTTGTTTCTGGACCCCAGTTACTTAACCTCCCTGCAGCATTCTCTTTTGCCTCCTCTTCCTCCTCCTCTTCCTCTCGGGAAATTCCAGGTATGAAGAGACGGGGTGGCTTGGGAGGTGGCATGCTGGGCTGCAACCCCTCCTCCAACACCCTCTCGGGTTCAGGCTCTGGTTCTGACTCCTGTGGGCACAGCCTTTCACTCCCCTTGGGGCTCACGGTTTCTGGCGATTCTGGCTGCATCTGGTGAGGGGGCAGTTCATCAGACTCTCCCTGCAGAACTGGTGAGGACGACTCAGCTGCAGGAGAAATGGTAACTACATCCCAAGGCCAGGAATCACTGACTGTATTAAGCTCATGGAAAAGCTGGCTTTCACCTCCAGAGGCCTCCTTGTCTTGGCCCTCCGGGGTGTCATCTGGGCCAGGCAGCCTCTCCCACACACTGATCACTTCTGGCGAGCTGAACAGAGACGTCGTACTGTTTGCTGGACTCTGCCCTGCAATTCCTCCTGGGGCCAGTGGCTCCCTGTCTGGCTCTGTATTTGAGGCTTTGAGGTACAGCTGGGTTGATGTGTAGGGCAGGCTGGCCTCTAC